GGACTGGGCCTACCGGCAGCGGGAGTTTGAGGTACTTGAGGGCTCTCGCACGGACTGGGCCTGGGCCGAGCCCAAGGTCTGGTCGGTGGCAGCTGTGGGGATATAAACTGGGGTGATCCCGCCGTGCTGAGTGGGTGCGCCTGTATGCTTATAGGAAAGCCTCCCGGCTGAGCCACGGCCTGGAGGCGCTAGTGTCTGCGGCGCGGTTACGTCCAGCTCGATGGCTCCTCGTTTGTTCTGAAAGCACGACAGCCCCTCCCGGGCCGTGGCGGTGACCTGGGGAAGCGCCGCCCTGCCGGCTGGGCTGCGGTGGGGCCGCCATAGGTAACTGTGTTCTGGGAGGCTCCCCTAGCCGTATGCCATCTTCCCAGGAGTCGGCGTGAAGTCGGTGTAAACTGGCCAGAAATGCTGCTCTGCCCCCGGGGCTGGTCTTTGCACATCTGAGCGCTTCGGTGGTGAGCAGAGCTGGTGTTTGTGGCCGTGGAAGTCATGGTCAGCCAGAGTTAAGCATGTGGATTTCTCTGCTCGTGGGGATAGTGCCATGTCCCGCAAAGGCTGTCAGATTGCTGGCAACCAACTACCCGGCTCACCTTTCTCAGAGCTCCCCCCGCTGTCGGGTGAAAGCTGCCTGTAGTTGTCAAGGCTCCTGGCGTTGGCTTGTGAGCCTCATCATTAATTGTCCCACCTCTCTGCCACCTCCCCTTGCTCTGGATGGCTGGTTGTGCCTTTGGGGTGTATTTATGCTCCCCGTTTCTGTTTCTGTCTGCCGTCGTCCTGGACCCTGGCCTCACTGCCTGCTTCCTGAGCTGCATTCCTGATCATCAGTGCTCTCCTGCCTCTCTAGTCCTAGTTGCAGAATCTGGTCTTTTGTTACCTTGTTTCTTGGTTGAAATCGGCCACTTCTGCCCTTGTTTCAACTCTAATACCTTCTTAGTCCAGTCTATGGTTTGCCTTACAGGCTCCATGATTCCAAAGTCCTCAGGCAGACTTTTGACTCCACTCCTTTTGCCTTGCCCATTGGATTTGTGGATCTTTTTGTACCTCAGTTGGTGCTGACTTCTGCTTTTCAATGTTATTCTAGGCCCACTGCTGCCTTGTCTGTACCCAACAGATGCTTTCCAGTCTCAGCTGAGACGCCCTGAAGGGATTCATAAATGTGTGCTAAGAAAGATGCCTCAGGCTGCAGTCAGACCGCGGTGTGCTGTGGTGCCCTCTCAGCAGAGAATGACACCCCCTCAGATCTGCCAGTGGAACAGACCGTTGCTTCCTAATGTCTTCTGTAACTGCTTCCTTTTCTGTCGCAGTGATCCATGTTAAAAATGTCTGGTCTTCAGTCTTATCCCTAGCCTGGATCACTGTGACAGAACAAGAACCAGAACTAGGCTGCACAGACAACTGCAGATTTGAGAGCACCGATCTTAGGGGGCTGGAAATCTCTTCACTCGCTGTGAATACTGTTTTACCTCTGCTTAGGCCACTTGATAGGAAGTGCCAAGGGCAGCAACAATCTCAGCTGTGCCCATTTTTTAGGATATAGGTAACTGTAGCATCTGCTTGGGGTTTGTAATGCCTGATCCTTGCCGGGTTATATCTCTTTGTCACATAACAAGGCGAACAGGAGTGTCTTGCAACCCTCCTCTGATCCATTTTCACTGGTGGCTGGTGCACTCGCTGGGTAGAGGGGAGCTCCTCCCTCTTTTGCTTGAGAAGGAATGTGAGCTCAATGCCAAGGAAGAAAAATATTTCGACCACTTTGCTAGGAAGTATTTAGCATATGTTGCCTGGAAGCTCTTTCTGTTAGGACCATTTAAGTTCGCAAGGAATTATTAAATATTCATTTTGAGAGATGGGAGAATGAGCACTGCTCTTTAGTCTTCTGGTCAGAGCACTTACACGAAGGGGGAGGAACCAAGATTCCAGTCTTAGCTTCACTGAATACTTAATGTATTTAAATGTTAATTGGAGCCCTGGTGCGTGCCCTGAGCATTAAGCTACAGAAGTATTGCTCTTTTTTTTTTTTTTTTTTTTCCCTCAGCCCAATTAATATTTAATTATTTCTTGCAAATTAGAACCACCCTACAGGAACGATGGAGATCCACCTTCCTTATGGTATTCTCCGACTTGATGATTCTTCCTGTGAGGTGAGGTACTTGCAGGTTCCGACTTTCCTGTGGAGAATGTCATGGATTTGAAACAAGGTCCCTCAAATTCAGAATGAGTGCTCTGATCATTGAGTCGGTACCTGGGGGAAAGACGCCTTCTGTCATGTACCACCCAGTTGGGTCCATGATCCCTTCTGGATCAGGCCTGGTCGGGGAGAGGTGGACAGATGTGTGGTGAATCCTGCCAGGGCTTAAACACGAGTTAGGATTGAGGTTGCTCATCACCATCTCAGCTTGGCTGTGGAGTACCAGGGCCCTTGTCTGTTGCTGGTGGTAACTGAGTCTGGAGAAATGAAAATGGGGACTTCAGCTCCTGAATTCCCTTTGTGACTGTAATCGTAAACAAAACATACTCTCAGACTTGCTTTTAAATGAAAATGTCTCACTGTTGTTTGGCTTTTCTTTCTGTCGGCGCTGCTAGAAAGCCCTGTGTGAATACTCAAACTGCTTGCTACTCTTGCCTCCCAACAACATTGCAATGAGACGAGATGTCCAGGAGGGCCAGGCTCGGTGTTTGTCTCGCTTAGGAAGGCACAAGGAGGCTCTGGATATCGCAGAAAAAATGGTACATAATGCAATCTTTCTTTTAGGCTTTGAACATGAAAATATTGCTGGTAGTTCTTTTATATGGACCATTTTCTGGAAAAATAATTTTCATGTGTATAATCCTTTAGGATGTTCAGTGCTCAGAGTATTTGGTAAACAGAGGGTAACTGTCACTGCAGATATAATCACTCTTTAGAAATCAGAACACCCTGTACCACAATGAGCTCCCTGTGCAGGGAGGCTGGTAGTCCTGGAAGGGACTAAATATCATGCTCTGCCAGGCAGAATTAATGTAATGTAATAGGAATTATAAGAAAGGGGGTAAATGAGTGCTTAAATCTTTCCACTATGAAAGTGATGGTTCAGAAGTCCCTTTTATTTCCATATACTCGCTGCCAAACTGCCACCAAGAAGAGTGTATAACCACAGAGTTTTTCCCATAAAGGAGAAAGTCCAGAGGCTCTGGAGTCTGCTAGAACTTTACTGCTGCCATTTATTATTTTATATAAAAAGGTGTTTACACTACAAAGAAGGGCAGCTGTATCAAACTCTGAAGGCAAACAAACGAATGACAGCATTCGGGGCCCTGTTGCCTTTCAGACTGGGGCAGGGCAGCTGGAGGGAATGCTGAATTACTTTTAGTGGTATTTGTGTGTCATTATTCAGGGAGACGTTTTCTTGGGCTCTGAAGGATGATTCTGTTCTACTTCTGGTTTTAATGCGTTACCTTTTGTTTCTAGAGAAACAGCGCTACTAACACAGATCACTTAACGACGGTTCTCAACCTGCAGTTTGCCATTTACCAGGGGCTGGAAAATGTAGAAAAAAGGATCACATGCCTGCAGCAACTCATCTGCTTACACCCTCTCAACCCTTGGTACTGGAAGTTACTTGCTGAAGCGTATATGAGCCTTTTACAGACTTTGTCTCCATTAGCCATTCCAGAAACAAATCTAAACCAGTCTGAAGAGGTTAGTGGAAGTGACAGTAGTTTCAAAACACCCGCTGGAAGAGAGGTCGATTCGCAGCCTCACCGATCAGATGGCCAGAAAGAAGGCTCTTGGTCCAGCCTTGCTACAGAAGCAAAGAGGGAGAATGCGGTGACTCGTAGCAGCAAACAATTCCTTTGTGCCTCAGAAGAACCGGGAAGGACGGATGAAGGGAAATGCGCAGCCTCGGAGTCCTGGGAGCGGAACGTGTCGAAGAAAGTTGAGATAAAGGCATGTGCCTCATTTGTTAGAGCAAGGTAACTAACAGTATTCTTAGAATAATGTTAACTTCTCCCAATCGAGGGCAAATTAAAGCATGTTTTTCCCAGCCTTAGTATTTTCAGTTTACATTTTCAATTTAAATGTTTGTTTCAGCATTGGCAGTGCTAACAGGGAAGCACCCTGCTATTGCTTCAGATCTAAAAAAGCAAAATCCACTGGCGTGGTGGCTGTGAACAACCTAAATCTGAGTGGAAGGAGTAAACCAGTGTCATCCACTGTTGAGAAGTAAAGCGTTTTTCAGTGTCCTTATTATATGAATCTTTTCAAGTAATTATGTACAAAAGGGCTTGTTCTTCAACAGATGCTCCTGTTAGAGCCTGGCTGTTCCCTGGTTTGGTATTAAAGCTGCAGCAGCAGAAGTGCCCCAAAGGGAAGGTCCAGCCAGTCTTCCTCCTGCGAGTGCCACCTGTCTCATTTGCTTGAAGCCTCATGCTTGAGCGAAAATGTATTTTATAATAATACCCTGATCTGCATAATGGATGAGGTTGACAAATTACCTCTGTGACAGCTGATTGACAGCGCTGCGTTAAAATGCTCTTTCCTTTTCTTCCCTCTCTTCCTAAAACTCCTGCACACCACAAAAATCCCCAAAACATAATCTTTCAAAGAGATAATTAGGGACTGGTTTTGTTAAAATAGTTTTGGATTTTCTTCCCCCTCTTGCCTCTCAGGAATGTATTAGTCACTGAACGTATTTAAAGCGTTGTGAACTTCCACAAATGTTTACAGAGAACACTTTGTAACTGCCCTGTTAGGGCCAGACTTAAGCAATTTTGAAAAAGACGTGTAGCTTTTAACTGTACTCAGGCTAAGAGACAGTGACTGTAATGGCTACGTGGGAGAAGTTAATAGATTTAGTACTGATGTGGAATATTAAAGTTACATTCATGTTAAAATAATTTGTGTGGCTTGTTTTGGTGTGTATGGTTCAGCACTGAGACAATTATAAGTTGTGGGATTTCCTGCTGGGCTGCACAGTTTCACAGAGTCTTACTGTGCTTTATACTTGCAGATACACTTGTCCAGGGGAAGCTGCTCCCCTGCCCAGGGCTTACACGTGAAGTAGGTTGTCTAATGTTCTCAGGTCTGTTGGACTTCAAGTGGGATGTGGATGTTGCATAAACATATGTGCAGGGTAAATTGCACCTGGAAAAGGGATGTTAGTATTGCTTTTTGGAGGAAATAAGGTTCTGTGTTAGAGCATCACGAGCAATTGACTCTTCTAGTTTTGCCAACAAAAAAAATTGGAGAATTTTTTTTTTTAAATTTTCATTGAGATGTCATTCTTTCTTACATTATGTTGATGCAAATTTTGAAACAAAACCGCTTCGCATACTAAAAATACTTCCCATTTTTACTTTGAACTTCCCAGTCGAAACTTTACTGAATTTACAAATGGTTCGTTGGCTCAGACATGTAAATTTTGATGTTGATAATGCTCAAATGAAAACTTTAACCTAAGATCTTAAGTAGTCTCTTCATAAAAATTCACGCCTTTATTATAACACCTGCTTCATTTAACTTTGGTAAATGTGATAAAAAAATTTTGTTGTTGTTATTTATGCATAAAGCTTGAATTAAACATCGTTTCAGTAATGATACTGCTAGGTCCCAGTGGTCCCTTGGTTGAATGTACTTAGATATTTCCTCTGCTGACACGTCTTACAGTCCTTGTGTGAGGAGCACTCTGGAAGCTGCCACTGCTCTCTCTGGTCGAGCAGTTGGTGAATGGGGTCCCTCCGTGACATGAGCACGGCGTCTAACCTTCACTGGGTCACGGTGGTGACTTCCGGGGCGCTGCCTGGAACGTAAAACTGTGGTGAAAGATTTTAGAAAATATTCCAGGGTTGGCCTGTGTGGGGAGGATGTTTGATGGTTGTCTGAAACCCCCAAATTTCTCGCTTTTCAGGTTAAAATCACTGCCATAGGCAAAAACATGCCACTGTCTTGTTAGGCCTTAATAAGGCTGCGGGACACCTGGTGTGCTGCAGTTAGTGCTGGCGGACCCGCACGTCACTTTTGAATTGTGTGACAGATACATGGGGAGAAAAATGTTTGCACAGAGCACATTGTTTTTCAAAAGCACTTCTCGGTACTTCTGCCATAGCACGGCTGTGCCAGCCCCGTAGCAGGTTGGTACAGATGTCTTCATTTCTTTGCAGTTTTTGCAGTCGGCAAAAGTCAGGAAGAAAAGCTGTTTTAAAGTATTGTATTTTTAGGTTTGGTGACTTACTCTTTTGCCAGCTGTGCCTTTTTCTAACTGCCGTTTTCATTCCAGGCTTTTACTTCAGCTTACCCAGTTGCAACAGTCGTCCTTTGCACTAGAGAACAACATAAAAGATGGAAAAGAAATTGATGCCGAAGTGGCACGACTTGGTTTCCGTGAAAACTCCCTGCTGTTGATGACCAAGGTAAGGGGATGTCTCAGCGTGTGCACGTTCTCAGCTGTACAGAGGCTGGCTGAGGTACCTAAGCCAGTTCAGGCACAAAGTCTTGAAGCGTGACGCTGCCCTGAGCTAATGACCCGCGCCGGGAAGCCAGGGTGAATGAGCCGGGCGCCTTGCCCGGGTGGTGTGTTATCAGGAACCGACAGCGACACCTGTATTAGTGCTGGCCTGTGTCATGCAGGTGTACCTGTGTTCTGCTGAGATTCTCCTTTCGGGAATGTTCAGGGTTGTTAAGTTTCTCATTGGGCTTTTGATTTGCAGATGCATCATCGCTGTGTGTTTCCTGCAGATTTTATCTCGGGAATTTTAGATGCCACAAAGTGAATCACAAGTATGAAATGGAAGTGGAGATTACTTTGGTGGCCGCAGCAGTATTAAACGCTTCCAGAACAAGTATTAAACGTTTTCAGAAAAAGCCAGAGACGTTCTTTTAGATGATTTCTTTGTTCTGTTTGATGTACTGGGTTCTAGTTGTAAAGAAATACAAAGGTGGAGAGTAACGTTGCATGACTTTGTTCATCGAGATTAAACATTTTTAGTGCTATTTTCTGACTTTTATCTTAAGGAACAAAAGGAAGCCAGCGAGATTCTAACTTTGCTGTCAGTATTAGAGCTTTGAGTTGGGGAGAGCCAAGCCATTGCCGGGTTGGCGGGCAGCCTTGTGGGATTTCCTCCATAAGAGGGCAGCAGCAGGCAGACCAGCTCGGGCTTTGCAAAGGTTGGGAAAAGAAACTTCTCTCCTTGCTTCCCTTGGTCAAGCACCCTTCAGGACATCAGGGTGTTGGTACTCTTGCAGGGTGAGCACTGCATGCAGAGCTGGCCTTGAGATTTCCACTGCTATTCGGAGAGTAAAAATCCCCCTGTAGAAGCGGGTCCAGAAGCTGGGTGGGGTTGTGCTGCTGGGAAGCTTGGGCTTGGGCTCTGTATCTGTTGCAGAGTGCAACGGGCAGACGCCTCCGTCCTGACTTGGGAACTTGTCCTGGATGGCGTGTGGTTTGTGTGTCGGGGGCTTTTCTTGTAAAGATCTGTTACTGATGTCATATTTGCTGTTTTCTCTGCAAGTTATTTTCATGTTTCCCATCTTCTTTCTCGCTCTGTTTGCAGGTGATGGGGCAGGATCTTGTGCCAGAAAAACTAAAAGAGGAATTTCAGGGTGAGGTAAAATGCATCGGCCCTTCAGCGCTGTCATCATTGGTAACTGCATCAGCCACAGAATTTGAAACCAAGTGGTTTGGTACTCTCGAAGATGATTTATGTCACTTTGAGAGACAATTCTATTCAGATACATATCTCCCTCCTTCGGTAACTTAAAGTTTTTGTTGTATTTATTCTCATATCTCCAGATGATTATGGAATGATATATACAATAAAGTTCATATTACATTTTTTAAGAATTAGTGTTGTATATCTCTTAAGAACATATCTATCTAAACCTCTGCATTTAAACTCTTAACGTCTCGTCATTTTCTTTGTTCAGTGGTTTGTTTGTATTCAAAATAATAAGGAATCCAGTATAAAATCGAGCTTTCAGTTCAGCTGTCAGAGCTTTCCATCATAAACCTCACCGTGTTGTGCTTGAAGCTCCTGTGATTTTTTGAGGCGTACGGTGCCCGTGGGATGGAAGGCTTCCTCTATGATGTCCAGTTTGAAAGTTTCTTGGTATCAAATTCCATGTTGTTGCATTGAAAGCCATGGAATTAGCTGTTTTCTTAATTATTTTTTTCATATTTCTTGATTAATTGATATTATAGTGATTTCCTGTTCAGAGATGGATAGTTAGAAATCTTAAATATATTTATGTCAAGAAATTGTCAATAAGAATAGTTCCATATGTTTTAGGGAAAAAAATATCTAAGTGGTAAATATTTAACTTAGAACTGGAATGAGATTTTTTTTCTTCAAAACAAAGTGTTTTTTGCAGGCATAGAACTAGCTGTAGTCTCGTCTCTGGTGTGCTTAGATGAGGGAGGAGGAAAACTGCCGAGGTCGTTTATGTGTACTGAAGAGTGTTTAGTCACATCATATCCTTTGTAAAACCCTGCAAGGAAGAAGACCTTTGCTGAGAACGCTGACAGCGTTGTTTCTGCATCATACAGCTCCTTACGTTATGCTTTCAGTTGATCATGACACCGCTTTGCTTTACTTCCTGAGGCGTCGGTGCTGCGTGCTTTGGGCTTCTACAGGAAAAGGCAGAGATTACCCTGGAGTTTCTTTTGCTTGAAATAACTTACATTTGAGGCAAACAAGGTGTGCTCTTCCCCATCTTCTCTTAAACTATGAGACTTAAATCCTTTGTAGCTCTTTGTAGAAGTGATCTTTAATGGATATAGTATAAAACCAGGAATCTCTTAGACATAATAATTTTAGACATAAATTGTGTTTTCCTGTGTTTTCTTTCTGAAGTACTAAAGCGTGCTGAAACTTTAAATAACTTGTCATTGAATGGTAATTCGCCGTGTGTGCACACGCTTTGATTCTGCTGCTTTTAGATGAATTTTAAAGCTTTAGACACTGGTTAGGGGACCTGTCACTGACGCTTGGTATGGTATAGCCCTCTGCTACGCTGACTGTGAAACCTCGCTGGAAAAAGGGAATATCGCCTTCAGCCACGTCAAATTATCTTTGATATTTTGATGACTTAATGCAATTAAACCACATCCTGGTCAGCTTGTTACGAAAGATGATGACTTGGCAAGTATACTTGGGTAAGCATTAATGCACTCATAATGTATTACAGTCATGCGTGTTCTTTGCTAGGTGGAAATTTTTGTGTGCGTGTGTAGAGCACTGTATTCGGGTGGCAGTGAAGCCCACCTGAAGGGCGGGGAATGCTTTTAAGACTGACAGGTGTCAGCAGAGACTGTCCAAAACGTGCTGTAAATTAATTACGATGGTGGCATCAACAGTAGAATGTCTTACAGCAAAGACATAGCAAACACTGAAAGCTTAATGCCAAATATGTCAGAAAAAAACTGGAACAGGGGCTTCTCCCTGTTTCTTCTTAAACTTAAGGTCATGAGTAGCCACATAAAAAAGCTAGAATTTGTTTTGCCGCAGCTCTTGAGTAGGTTCAGTAGTTAGGACACTGGAACATGGCTGTTGTGGAACCAGATCTGTATAGACGTGTAATGGGAACTCGCCAGATGATTTGGCTCCACAGTTTCAAAGGGGGAAATAGCGTTGGAGCTGTTTTAGCAGCCAATTAAATATTTGCAAATGTTGTTGTTTTGCGGCTGAGGTGTCCAAAATACCCAGCGGCCGGCCAAGCTGATTTGGAAACTTGTTGGTGTGCGTGCAGACTGTTTGACTTGAGGTTGTTCCTTAGTCTGGGAACACAACAGTTAACTCCCTGCTGGCTCCGGGACTGGAAGACGAGTGGCAGTTTTTAAGAACAGGCAGTATTTTCTCAAACATAACAATAAAGCAAAAATGTTGTTTTTAACTACTGCAAAGAAAACAACATGAATGTTGTTCTGAGTGTGTGGCGTAGTGACTGATCCAAATAACCAGTGTTTATTGCACTGGGGCTGTGAAATATTCCTTTGTCCCTCTTGTGCCTGGCCATCTCTCATCTCAGCTACTTCAATTCCTCCTTTTTTGGCCTGCTCCTTGCTTTTTTGGCATGCCACTTGTAGCTCCAGTGTTCTGTTTCTGATCGTATCTCACGAGGGGCTTTGTGTTTCCATCTTGCATTTGAATAACTCATCGTTGCTTCTACGTTCTGCATAATCCTACGTCTGCCTGTAATAGATTTCTTCATGTTTGGCTCTGAGGATATTATTATTGGTATTACTGCATGTACAGTACTCCACGCTGAGGTGGACAGCAAATTTTGATATTGCAAACTGCCAGTGAGAATCCGTTAAGTTACTGAGGTTTGATTTTGTTATTTTAACGCTTGCTCATGTCACAGATGCTTCGGGAAGGACTGTACTCCACGCTGAGGTGGACAGCAAATTTTGGTATTGCAAACTGCCAGTGAGAATCCGTTAACAGTTACTGAGGTTTGATTTTGTTATTTTAACACTTGCTCGTGTCACAGATGCTTCGGGAAGGACCCTCTGACCCTGGTTCTATGCATTGGAAATGGTTGCTGTGTATGAGCACAGTCTAGTTGAGTGTCTTGCTAGTGAGTGTTTGAAAACCACTGGCTTTGAGGTGAGGGAACATGTTCATGCTGTAACTCGCGTCATTAACACAGTTTTCTCCATCATGGAATCACAGAACGGTTTGGGTTGGAAGGGACCTTCAAAGATCACTCAGTTCCACCCCCCTGCCGTGGCCAGGGGCACCTTCCACTAGACCAGGTTGCTCCCAGCCCCATCCAGCCTGGCCTTGAACACTGCCAGGGAGGGGGTAGCCACACCTTCTCCAGGCAGCCTCTTCCAGTGTCTCACAACCGTAATCAGGAAGAGTATCTTCTTTATGTCCAGTCTAAATATACCCTCTCCCAGTTTAAAACTGTTGGTGCTTGTCCTGTCACTGTGTGATGGGTTGGCCTTGGCTTGCTGCCAGGTGCCCACCCAGATGCACTATCACTCCCCCTCCTCAGCACAACAGGGAAGGAGAAATTAAGATGAAAAAAGGACTCGTGGGTCAAGATAAAGGTCGTTAATAAAGAAAAAGCAAAGGCTGCATGTGGAGACAAAGGAAAACAAAAAAAAATTTATTCTCTTCCAGAAGGTGATGTCATTGTAAAAATGAGTGTGTGAATAGTCTTAAGATTGCTTGTAAGGAATGAAGAGTTGTAACATGGGGTCCTGCTCATGCTCCCAACCAAGAGCCACCTTCATTGCTGGAAATAATAAAGGGGTTTTAGCCAGTGCCTCCTTTTCCTGCCTTCTTTCCGGTACTCGCACACAAACTAGAAGAAAAATGCAAGCAAATCCACTTTGGTAACAATTTGGTGACCCTGCTGGGGCTCTGTGGGTTTCTGCCCTGTTGGGCATGGTGATGGCACACAACAAAGCCAGCACTGGGTGCGTTCAGCTGATAGTCCTTGCAGGATCCGCGTTCCCTGGGAAGGTACTAGAGCCGAGGGCAGCGTCAGCCGTGGAGAGGTCAATAGGTGAGGTAAAATGGGGTTTGCTGCTGGTGGAAAGTCTGAGAAACCAGCAGAAAATCGACAGTACTTCAGGACTCAGTAAAGCTTGACCTGTAGTTCTCTCGGGATGAGTGGCGGGCTGGAACTTGGTAGGGGACACCCTCCGAGTGCTGGCCCCTGGGAGGTTCATTTGACACACATCTGACCTCCCTGCCTCCTATGTGATGCCGTGTAAGGCAGAATTCCTTACTTGGTAAACCCCTGCTGACGACCCCCCATCATCTTCTTGTCTTTCCCAGGACAAGCTAGAAGTTGTTTCCAGGAGCTGTTGCTCCATCACCTTCCAGGGATGGAGGTGCAGCTGGCAGGCTAGCGAGGGTCAGGGAAGGGGGCCACGCCGGGGTATGGTGCGCAGTGGTTCAGGAAGGAGAAACGCCTGGGTGCTCTCTTCTAGGAGGAGCAGCAGAGGCAGACCAGGGTGCTCGCTTTTTTCACAAAAAAAAAGCAGCCCGGGGAAGAAGCCGTCAGTGAAGTGCTCCCAAGGAGCACGGGCAGCAAGCACAGGGGATGTCCTCAAGCACACGCTCCTCCAGGTGCTTCCCATGTGAGCAGACACGGGCATGTGAGGTGCGCTCCACTAGCAGTCGTACGGCCGGGCACTCGGGAGTGCTCTGATGGGCAGCGCTGGCAGGACACCAGCAGAAGCAGCTCTGAGCCAGAAGACCTGCAGGGCCGGTTTGGGCTGGGGAAGGGACGCGGGGACACTGGAAAGCCCTGGCCAAGCCTAGCCTATTCCCGCAGCTTACTTCCAGGGGAGAACTCAGGGGCGGCAGCGGGTTCGAAACATCCTTTCCTGGCATGTGAGCGGTGCCTGTGCAGACGGGTGGTCCCTTGGGCCGTGCCGCTCACTGGCCCGCTTCTCTCCACGCTCTGCTCCCCACGGCGAGGACATGCACAGCAGCCAGCCCTGACAGGAGGGTCCCCATCACTGCCAGCAGCAGTGGTGCTCTGACATGGCAGAGTTGTGCTCTGGAAAGCCCCAGGGGCCCACACAGCCCTAATTACGCCCCAGAGTGCCTCAGGACCATAGCTGGGCTCTGCAGGGGCCCCCATGGGGCCCTAATTACCCTCCAGAATGCCCCAGGGCCTCATCTGAGCTTTGCTGGGGCCTGTCAGAGGCCCCTGCTGCCTTCCAGAGGTCCCCTCATTCTACAAAAATCTAAAAGTCTCAAGAAACAAATCACTTTTAAGTACAAATTCACTTCTGTAGGTATTCTGGACATTGGTATAGGCTGCGTTTATTTATGCCTTTTAGCCCCCACCCCCCCCATCTAAATCCTCTCCGTCTTCCTCCAAAAGAGGTGAGAGACTGAAAATATAATAATGAGAACCGCTGCAGCTCTTGTTTTCCAGATTGTCATCTGAAGCGTCTTCGGCAAAATTAGAGGGGATGACTCCTCTTGTGCCGTCCGCCAGCTCTCCCACAGACCAACCGCCTTCATCCACCTGTCCGAACACATAAACACATTGCCCAGCAGTTAGAAGAAGCTCTAGCTCAGGCTGCTCACTGGGACCGTCAAAAGGATCGTAGCTGTATCGAGCTATGAATGCTCAAAGCTTTCCCCGTCCCCTGTCCCAGAGCCTGCAGGGTGACGGACTGTTTATCAGCTACCGATTCTGCTGTCTCACTTGCAGGTCCTCCTCTGAAAGAAGGCAGGACCCAGGACTGTCCTCTGCCCAAGCTGACTCAGGGGCCCTGACACCAATTCTCTGCTTCACTCACCTGGGCTTGAAACAGTTGCCTGGCTTCCTCATGGTCCCTGTTTACTTCTCTCTGAGCACTTTCTACCGTGTCTCTCACGGCTTTCAGTCTGCGCTCTGCAGCTTCCAGTCGGGTTCGAAGACGGCTGATGGCTCGGATGGTAGAATTTCGCTGCTCTGCCGCTCGCGTCAGTCGATCCTTCAGGTCAGCATTTTCAGCTTGAACCATTTCTGCCCAGCGCATCTGCCTGCGGAGGCGAGAATTTTCTTCAGCCAGTCTGGTGTTTTCAGTCGTCACCTCCAGAAGCTGCACCTCTAACTCCTCACACCTTTGGCTGAGGCTGCTCACATAACATGAGCCCTCGTCATCTGCAGCCAGATGGGCCTGGAGCTCCTCAGCCACCTTCGCTGAGGCTCCATTCTGCTGGTCCTGCGCCAGCAAAGCTCTGGCATGCTCTCTCGTTTCTCCAGCCCTCTGAGGAAGAAATGATTTCATGCCCAGTTCCTCAGCAGAGCTTTGGATGGGCAGCAGCACTGGAGTATTTATGAAGTGCCCAATGGTCTCCTGCAGATGCCTGCATCTTTCTTTCAGCTGCTTGGTGAGGGCAGCTAGCCGAGCACTTTTCTGCTGGAGCCTCTCTGCCTCCTTGCACGCTTCTGGAGAGCTTCTCAGACTCAGGAGGCGGTTCTCCATCTCCAGGGCACTGCGTTGCCTCTCCAGGTCTTGCAGTACCTGCTGCAGGCGGGTGTCCTGCGCCAGCAGCTGGCTGCAGGCGCTGCTGGGAAGCACCAAGCCTTCCCACGCAGGCTCTGGCATCTGGGGCACAGCATCCGCCTCGGCCTGGCGTGTCCTCTGCTGCCCAGCACCGTGGCTGTCGGGCGGTCTCTCCTTTAGCACCAACTGGGCAGACGGAGGCTCGATCGGGCGGATGGCCAGCTCCTGCCAGCGCTGCTCCTCCCGCGCAGGGCGGCCGGGGGCCTGCGCTGGGCCCCGGTGGGGCGAGGGGCAGCAGCGCACTGCAGGCC